CCCCTCAGAGAATATAATTTTTCCTTGCTTTAATCTGTTGCCCGAAACGTTTTTCCCTAATTGCAAAGAACTCAGACCTCTCTCTCCTGAAGAGTGTCCTAGCTATAGCACAGAAATTAGTGAGTGTGTTTGATCAGTCTTACAAATCAAGTGATTTATTTCTCGAACGTTCAGTGGCATTAGTGAAGCACACTGAACGCAATGATAAGTGAAGGCCACTTCTACCGCAACGTTTGTAGGCATACAGGGGTAATCTGTTCCTGAAAATTCTGGAGATATTTCCAGTTATATTTTTTGTAAAGAAATACTGGAAATTTGATCACATTTTGAAGAAGATGCGAGATTAATTGTTAGTTTGGACTGTCGACAGCTTGTTGACGTCTTCTCCATGAGCCTAACTGATGTGCTTCTCAATTGTTGAAAAACAGCATGAACTGTACATCAGCTGTTGAAAGTGATGTGTTTCCCAAGTGTTGAAAAACAGCATGAACCGTATATCAGCTGTTGAAAGTGACGTGTTTCCCAATTGTTGAAAAACAGTGTGCACCTTGTATCAGCTGTTCAAGAAGTCCGCTAACAAGAAATAATCAATTCATGAAACTATAGAAAATTCTCCTTCTTCATATCTGTTGTTGTTGTTAATTTTGGGTATAATAACAAGAACACATCTTGAGAAATCGTAGGATGATCTCCCGATCACCAAAGTTACTTATATCCGTTATCCGTCGATATTAATGAAACAGTGTGACTGCAACAAATTGATTACAATCACACGTAAAATAAACAGTTGCAAGCTAGCTATATTTGTTATTTCCATATATACATATGTATACGTTGCTTGTCGCGATGCCTATAAGTACGGACTTGAACAAAGCAAATTATCATGTAAGAAAACCCTTGTTATTTATGTGTCTTCATTATTTTTAATTCTGTATTATTCATATTTGACTTAGGATAGCTATATTTGTTATTTCCATATATACATATGTATACGTTGCTTGTCGCGATGCCTATAAGTACGGACTTGAACAAAAGCAAATTATCATGTAAGAAAACCCTTGTTATTTATGTGTCTTCATTATTTTTAATTCTGTATTATTCATATTTGACTTAGGATTTAGATAGTTTGTTTCATTTGCATACTTTTTTCAGTACTTCTAATGAGTATTGCATGTTTTAACGTATTCAATGGAAAATAAGATAAAATACGGGGGGGGGAGGGGTATTATTATCCTAAGCTCACATTTCAAAGCATTTCTAATAAATATAATACACACGCGCATATATAAGGTACAAAGAAAGTCAACTACCGGAGCTGAAAACACGTTTATGACATCAGTATTACATATGATGAAATAATAGTACAACTTACTGATTACAGTTGCTTCTCAGTTCCAAGAAAATAATATTAACATAGTATAAAATTATAATGAAATACACACAATGTAAGCATACTATATATATATATATGTATGTACGTATGCATATGTATACGTGTATTTAAATATGCAAGTGAACATACACGCACATATATAAATGTATATTATATGTTTACTTAGATATAATTATTATTCTCTTTAGGAATATATGAAAATCGTGATACCATTGTTTGTAATTATTGTATTTTTTTATCAACAATATCTTTGTTATCTTGTGAAGCATGTAGCTGCACAATGGGCTGTCTTTGAGGAAACTACCACAACAATCAAACCCTTTGTCACTATAGCCCTCAAACTTACCACTGAGCCCTGACATGGGTAGGGGGTCTTGTCAACAAAACACTCTTCTCTGTACCTTATGGTGCTTTAATTTGTCAACATCACGTCAAGTTTAATTTGTCAACATCACGCCAAGTTTAATTTGTCAACATCGCGTCAAGTTTAATTTGTCAACATCACGTCAAGTTTAATTTGACAGCATCACGTCAAGTTTAATTTGACAGCATCACGTCAAGTTTAATTTGTCAACATCACGCCAAGTTTAATTTGACATCATCACGCCAAGTTTAATTTGACATAATCACGTCAAGTTTAATTTGTCAACATCACGTCAAGTTTAATTTGTCAACATCACGTCAAATTTAATTTGTCAACATCACGTAAAGTTTAATTTGACAACATCATGTCAAATTTAATTTGACAGCATCACGTCAAGTTTAATGTTTTTGAATTTGATATTTGAACTTTCTTGTAAAATATCAGTATTTATGCATTCTTAAAATAAACAAATTATGCTGAAATAAAATATACCAACAAATAGTTGGTTACTGAATAGTTGATTACAATAATATCGCTTGAAAGATCAAGGGGGAAAAAAAGTTCCTACTTGTACGAAATAAAATTATATTAAAAGATTTTATTATTAATAATAAACAGTAAACCGTTAAGCTATATATTCATGTTATTAATCTAAGAAAGACGTTAATCTCTTTATCCATGTTTAATAACAGTAACTTATAAATTAATAAACTAGATTTTTATCTTTAGTTAAAATAAGCAGTATTCTATTAAACTGGATTTTAAGAACATTTCTTTTCCCCTTTCTCACACAGTTCTCCAGGCCCTGAAAAATATTTGAACAAAACCGTGATGAATCCCAAGCGAACCTCAAGTATCCACAAGATCCGGGACATTCACTTGCAGAGGATAGACTTAAATGATCAGTATGATATTCTAAGAGAAATTGGTTCAGGAGATTACGGGAAGGTGGTGTTAGCTGTTTTAAGGGAGCGGCAAGAAGAAGTTGCTTTAAAGATTGTTCCCAAGGCAACCACATCCTCGAAAGATTTCCAAATAGAGTTTCATTATAGCTATTTCCTTTCCCCACATATAAACATTCTTAATACTTATGACGTGGCCTTCGAAACAACAGACTACTATATCTTTGCCCAAGAGGTGGCGCCCTCTGGAGACCTGTGGCAAGTAATTGAAAAGCAGAACGGCATGGAAGAGAATGACGTAAAACTCGTGGTTAAACAGGTGACGTCAGCGCTTGAGTTCATGCATAGCAAAGATTTGGTTCATAGGGACGTTAGAGCAGAAAATGTCTTAATATTCCAGACGAACTTTACCAAAGTTAAACTAACCGACTTCGGACTAACTCGGCGGGCTGGGACACTGGTGAAAAAGCGCACCCGTTCCCTACCCACTTGTCCGCCAGAGATTTGGGAGACAGTTCACATGGAGGGTTATAACGTTGAAATCGGTTCCGATGTGTGGCAGATGGGCATGCTCATCTTTGCGGCTCTCTTTGCCAACTTTCCTTGGCAAAAAGCTGACATTACAGATCCTGATTTCAGAGTATTTATGCAATGGCAAAAAAGGAAGACCACCAGAATTCCAAAAAAGTTCAAAATATTCACGCCTCGATTGCTGAGACTCTACCGACGACTGATGGACGCCAAACCGTCAAAACGCTACGAAATAACGGAAGTATACAAGTACGTGGGAGATAAATGGTTAGTCCCTCGAAGTTCACGGACGAGTAACGTAAGCAAAACTCCTGAACCTTCTGACCATAGCGAAGTGAGAGAAGAAACACTGGAAGAGATTTTGTCGAATTTCGGACTGAAAGACCATGTAAACAAAGACGATAAGGAGCAGCGAGTCTACGATTGGATACTGTCCAGTACAAAAGACAAAGGTAGTTAATTTGTAGTTAACCTTTCGAACACTGCTGTTGTGAGGGAGACTCATTCAGAACTCTCACGTGGTACAAAAATATTTCACGATAAGGTTTGAATATTTCATGAAGCACTGAGAAAATGCAAAGTGTTAACAGAGCTTCGTTGTTTGTTTTGGTCATGAAGCACTGAGAAAATGCAAAGCGTTAACAGAGCTTCGTATTTTGTTTTGGCCATGAAGCACTGAGAAAATGCAAAATGTTAACAGAGCTTCGTGGTTTGTTTTGGTCATGAAACACTGAGAAAATGCAAAGTGTTAACAGAGCTTCGTATTTTGTTTTGGCCATGAAGCACTGAGAAAATGCAAAATGTTAACAGAGCTTCGTGGTTTGTTTTGGCCATGAAGCACTGAGAAAATGCAAAGCGTTAACAGAGCTTCGTGGTTTGTTTTGGCCATGAAGCACTGGGAAAATGCAAAGCGTTAGTTAACAAAGCTTCGTGGTTTGTTTTGGCCATGAAACACTGAGAAAATGCAAAGTGTTAACGGAGCTTCGTGGTTTGTTTTGGCCATAAAGCACTGGGAAAGTGCAAAGCGTTAACAAAGCTTCGTATTTTGTTTTGGCCATGAAGCACTGAGAAAATGCAAAATGTTAACAGAGCTTCGTTGTTTGTTTTTGTCATGAAGCACTGAGAAAATGCAAAATGTTA